AGGGGTTTCAAGACATCACATTGTCCAGTGCCATGGTAACCAAAAGAGCACAACAAAGAGACCAGTGAAACAGAACAGATTGTAGAAATAAGCCCACCATCTACAGCCAAATGATTGTTGACACAGGTGGAAGAACAGCCTCTCCAATAAATGGAGCTGGGGAAGCTGGACATGGCTCATGCTAAAGACTGAAACTTGTTCCATGTCTCTCCCTGTACAAAAATCGGCTCAAGATGGATCAGAGACCTAATTGAAACTCTGGAACTACTTGAAGAAAACATAGGGGGAACACTTTAGGACATTGGTGATGACTGATTTTTTTGGATAGGATCCCGAAAGCAAGAGTTGACAAATGGGATTACATCCTACTAAATCTTCTGCACAACAAAGAAAGCAAGAGTGAAGAGAAGACGTACAGAAAGTGTGTGCCAGGTATTCATCTCACAGAGAGTAGCCAAAATACAAAATTAAACATAGGCAGCCAGGCATAATAGCAAGCACCTGTCCTCATAGCTACTCAGGCAGCTAAGGCAGGAAGATTGCTAGAGCCTAGGAATTCAGGACCAGTCTGGGCAATATTATAAACACCACCTCCCCCGCCCCCGGAACAACAACAAAATAGGCAAAAGATCTAAATAGACACCTCTTAAAAGAAGAGATACGAATGAAGTCCTGAGTGTGGTGGCATATGCTGGTAATCCTAGTTACTCAGGAGGCAGAGATGGGGAGGATCAAGTTTTGAGGTCAGTGAAACCACATCTCAACAAACCAGGGCATGGTGGAACACGCTTTTAAAATCCTCGTTACGTGGGAGGCATAGGTAGGAGGATCACAATCAAAGGCAACTTCCAACAAAAAGTACAAAACCTTATCGGAGAGTAAAAAAGGGCTAGGGGCATGGCTCAGGTGGTAGAGCACCTGCCTAGCAAGTGTGAGGCCCTGTGTTCAAAACCCCAATATATATAATACGAGTAGCCAACAAATACATGAAAAAGTACTCAGCATCATGAAGCATCATGGAAATACAAGTCAAAACTATGAGATAACATCTCACCCCAGTTAGAACAGCTATTATCAAATACATTTTTTAAATAACAATATTGCTGGCAAGAATAAGAAAAAGGAACTCGTACACCCTGGGAAAGAATGCAAATTAGTGCAACCATTATGAAAACAGTTGGAGATTCCTCACAAAACTAAAAATACCACATGATTCAGCTGGCTACATATCCAAAAGAAGTATGCACCCATTCCTACTGCAGCACTGTTCACAGTAACCAAGATGCAGAATCTGCCTCAGTGCCATCGACAGAAGATTGGATAAAGAAAATGTGAGACACGTACTCAGTGCTGTCATTTGTACCAAAATGAAAGGGACTGGAGGACATTGTTAGGTGACATAAACTAGAGGCAAGAAGACAAGTACCGCAATTCTCTTTTATATGTGGAAGCTTAACAAATATATATGTATATTGGCCTGATAGAATAGCGACTGCTAGAGATTGAGAAAGGCGTGGAGGGAGGGTGGAAAAACAATACCCTGAGCACATGCTGCATGCACCCTGTGGAAGCATCACACCAAGCTCCATTAATACGCACAAGCACTGTGTGTTAACTTTAAAAAAAAAAAAAAAAAGGAAAGGGCTCAGAGAAGTCCTGCACTGAGATTTCATTCATTTACTTTGTTTAACCAGTGGCTCCCATAATTATGTGAGCACAGAACACACCATCACTGTGTGTTGCCTGCTAAGGTCTTGTTACTGGTACCCCAGGGAAGGTGTTTGGGAGAAACCCCTGGAGAGAGCTTTGCCTTGTGTCCCATGGGTCTCTAATGCACCTAGGATAGAAACACACCTTTCCCACAGTGGGGCCTGGATCTGCCCCCCATCCAGAGCCTGAAGTCAGTGCAGCTAGCTCACCTGTCCTTTTTCCCACCACCTTTCCACTACTCTTCAGCCAGAAGCCTACCTGAGTCACAGACCGCTTCGTGTCCATGCAGAGGGCGCCATCTGCATCTCCATTCTTGCTCTGTCTGTGAGGCCCATGTAACTAGATCACAAATGGTGTTGAGGTATTTTGAGGTGTGCGTGTTTCTGCGAGGACCACCCATGATCAAATATTCTTGTCTGTCTTTATTAGTCTGTCCTAGAGCTCATATTTTTCTATTCTTTTATGATCTTCCCTAAATGTTAAAAATGATGATTTTGTTTCAGAATTAAACGTTCTTATCATCGTAGCTTTGTCTAAGTCATGTCATTTCCCATCTTGCTTAAAGAAATCTGCGATCATTAGAGGCGCCTCGTTTAGTACATGGAATCCTGGGAAGTAGGTACGCTCAGTCCCATTTTACAGGCTGAGAAGTTCACAGGAGACAAGCTTACCCAGGCTGCACAGCTGGTGGTTTAGAGTACAGTGTGAATCTCTGTTCACGCTCAATTTGAATCTGTTCTGCCACTTCATAGCTGTGTGTGTGACACTGGACAAATTAGCCTCTCTGTGCCTCCTTTTCCTCTTCTGAAAAGTGAGAGTAATATCACACCTGCCTCACAGGTTCATTGGAAGCTCTTTAGGTTGACATGTGAGAGGCTCAGAAAAGACCCTGTTGCTCAGTAGATATCAGCTGGGGAAAGAAAACATAGGACCTACGGGAGGGCCCCTGGCATGACTGACACAGACTGCCTTAACAACAGTCGCCCTTGCACGCACTGAAGCCTGAGTGAGTGGATGGGTCCACAATCTGTTTCTAGCAGCACCTGGGTCGTAGGTCACGACTAATCCCGTGAACCATGAGGATTTAAATGGATGTCGTCCTTCTTTGCTTGGGATGCATGCCGGCCTAATGCTCCTGTCAGACCTCTTCCAATACTAATTTCTCATTCTGCCCCCTGACGCCCCCATTTTTTTCAGTGTTCCATCTAAGTTTTTATTGTAGTTTATTGCTGGGTACTTGGATGTCATAAGTGACTTAAAGATGGTATTACTCTTATTTGCATAAAATATTTTTAACGTTATACAAATTATTTCAGAATGTCTTTCATGAAACTCAGCTTGCCTTTTTGATTGTCTTCCTCTAGTTCCAGGAAGAAAACAGAATTTGGGTTTTCCACTGCTGGTGAATCTGTTTTCTTTGCAAGAGTTCTTTCAGGGCACAGTTCACTAGAAATTTAACCAACCACTGTTAGGCTTTTGGTATCACAGGTCATAGAAATTCCTCTGTCTTTGCCATATCATTTCAGGAGGTGGCAGAAACAAACATCAGGACCCCACAGCAGTCATTTGTCATGCAGGTTATAACTGGAACAGGTAGCAGGAGGATCCTTGGAGTCCACATAGGAGCCTGGGTAGCACAGTGTGCCATCAGCGTAGGGTCACTTCCCAGACACGGACACACTCAGGTGTGATGCATGGCAGTTAGGGACACACATGTAGGTGCGGCCTTCAGAGCTTTCTGAGCAGACTGTTCATGTAAATGTGATCAGAACCCAGTACGAGCGAGGGGAGGCTATGTAGAGTGGGGCCGCCCTGGTTTCCTGGGTGTGCCAGAGATTTGCTATGTGATGTTTGGGTGGCTGGCTCCTCCAGTTTCTCTACAGTGAGGTAGTGCAAGCAACGTATTTTAGTCACTAATGAGATCGAGATCACTGCTGAGAGCAAAAGAGCGTTCCCACCAGGTGAGTACCAAGGAATGTGAGGGAACATCTTGTTCTGCCCCACGCCCATCATGACAACATCCAGTTTTACCACCAGCTCACCATTCATGCAAGAGCAGTCTATAGCAAGCCTTACCAAAAAAAAAGTCAAGAAATTGCATCCATATCCCTGTTTTTACAGATGGAGAAACTGAGGCACGGAGACTGCAAGTGGTTTCCTCAAAGTCACAAAACTAGCAGGTGGCAGGGTCAGGACTCAGTTTTAGACATGTCAGACCCTGGTTTTATCAAGTATGCTCTCTTTAACAGAAAAGGAGGCGTATCACCTGCTTTTTTAGTTAGGTACAAATTATATTAACATTGCACACATTTAAGGGAAAAATATTGCTAGAGATACCACGTAATTCAACAGGAAGACATACTGTCCTAAGTATATACACAAAGTATTACATAGCTACAAAGTAGATAAAGCAAATATTGACAGAACCAAAAGGAACAGAGATAAATCCACAGCAATAACCAGAGATTTTAGCACACCTTTCTCGATAAAATGGTAGAATAGGCAAACAAAAGGTTCAGCGAGTACATAGACGATCTGAGCAGTCATCTGTAGCAAACAGCTACAGACATCATATTTTGAAGTCCACAGAACACATTCACTAAGCCAGTCACATGCTGGACCATAACAACTAAAACTCAGCAAATTTCCAGAGATTGAAATCATACATAGGATGTTCTCTGACCACAGGAAAAATAGTTCAGAAATCAGTGCCAAAAAGATAACCAGAAAACCCCCAAATGTGTTGAAGTTAATAATAAAATGCTAAATAATTCAGAGTTTAAAAGGAAGTCACAGTTGACATTAGAAACATTTTAATGGAACAACAGTTAAGTTGAAACATACCAAAATTTGTGGAGACAGCCAAAGCAGGACTTAGAGGGTGATTCGTAGCTTTAAGTATAAGAGAAGAAAACATCTTGAAAAGTATCACATTTATTTCAAGAAGCTGAGAGAAAAAAATTAAACCCAAACAAAGTAGACAGAAATGAAGATCTAGAATGAAATAGAAAAACAGGCATATAATAAAGAAAACCAAGAGAACCAAAAGTTGATTCTTTGAAAAGAGCACTGAAGCATAAGAACTTCGATTCCCTTTGCCCCTGCTGCCTACTAAATTCTGAATCAGGAAATCAATTGTCTTTAGGATTTTTTGAAGTCAGTCCTCCTCCCCCAGAAATGCTTTATACCACTAAGCAGTATAGTTTGTCAGTTCCTCTTTTGGACTTGAGTCTCTGCAAATTCTTTTCTAACTGCTATTCTCCTGTCTCTGTTTGTTCCATGCTAAGCAGATGGCCCAGAAATTAGCCAAAAGCAGGAAGAAGGTGCAGTACAAACTTCATCAGCTTGGTTGTTATGCCTGTCCTTTTCATTTGTTTATGTTTTGCCTTTTTTATGATTTCATGTTTTTGTTTTCTGCATCCAGCAAGTTTTTTGTTCAGATTTCTTTTTGAACCGCCCCATAAGCCAGTGTTTCTCAAAACTCAGTTGCCTGAAGTGGCTGTTTTTTTGTTGCTCATTTAGTCATTTCACTTCAGAGGACTGACAGCAAGCAGATTGGAGATGCTAAATGAATCCTCTAGGAGTGTGGAAGGTCCAACCACTCAGGAGCAGTGATGTGGCAGGGTCTTAGGTCTGATCAATTCCAGTTATGCTTGATTTGGGGAGTTCTCGGATTGCTGGATGCAAAAAAGAAAACTTGCTAATAACCACACATATGCAGAGTTGAGCCCTGAGTGAACCAGACTGCACTTTGGGGGTTGTGGAGCTTCTAGGTGCTTATGAACTATTTCCGGGATGTGGGGCATTGGGGCTTTTTCCTAATGGGGGCTTCAGGAGCAGCTGCTTCTGCGTGGCTGTGGTGGTGTGTGGCCACAAAGACCCTCTTACCAGAACTGCAGCTGATGGGTTTGCTTGCACCTGCTGTAAACACCATCCTCCATCAGCTCAAGCAGGAGCAGACTTGAAGTGACTTCCCGTAGGTCTTAAGGGCATGAATCACCTGTCTGACCTTTCTGTCTCCAAAACCCTAGCAGAAAGGGCCACTTGCCATCATTGTTCAGAGAAAAAGCCACCGCTGTGAGGTGCTGCTTCTACAGAGGAGGAAGCAGGGTTGATTTTCCCTGAAACCTGGATATGCTAACTCTCGTCCATGTGTCTGTCCTCTGTGTGGTACCTCAGGCTTGGCAGTTTAACCCGAGTCTGCGTTGCATTCTGGTGACTGTGTCTTGGTGCCCTGTGTGTGAGCTAACCTCGCTCCCATGCATCTGAGTCATGCTGACATGCTGAAACCACCTCCTGGTACGTTTTTCTTCCCAGGCTCCGGAAGGTGAATCTCAGCCAATGACCGAGGTGGACCTCTTCATTTCTACCCAGAGAATCAAAGTGTTGAATGCTGACACCCAGGTACCAGCTGGCACCCGCCTTCGCAGGGTGAAGCCCAGTGGCATTGCACCACAGAGCCTGCACCTGTGCCACAGAGTGGCTGCTCCAGACGCTGGGCTCCACATACGCCAGAAGGCTTGGTTTGCAGTGCCTGCTACTGAGTGGGGCTACAACTGTTTGCCTAAAGCTCAAAGGAAACACTAAAACGTGGGTGTTGTTTATCATTCTCGTAAATTCTCTGCAGAGGATTCACTAACTTGGACAGATTGGTCTTTTAAGATATTTTGTAGGCTAAGTGTTGTGGCTCACACCTGTAATCCCAACTACTCAAGAGGCCCAGATAGGAGGATTGAGGTCTGAGGTCAGGCAAAAAGCACAAAATCCTATCTGAAAAATAACCTAAATCAAAAGGGACTGGATTGCAGAACATAACTGGTAGAGTGCCTGCCTAGCAAGCATGAGGCCCTGAGTTCAAACCCAAGTACCACCAGAGATTACTGGCTAGAAAACCTTTGAGTTTTTTTCTTTTTATCTGCCACAGATCATTTCTTGCTCTTAGTTAGCCCTGGGAAGGCCCGCAGGCTTGGGTGGATGTCACAAATCTGCTAGTGAAATCTGGAGCCCACCCTGACTGTGGGCCACACTTGGCTAGGCGGGGGGGGGGGGAGGGAAGGCTCTCTCATGGGTCATTAAGATCTTGTACCAGACTTGCCTGCTCTCTATCCCTCCCGCCCCCAGGAGACGATGATGGACCACCCTCTGAGGACCATCTCCTACATCGCAGACATCGGGAACATCGTGGTGCTGATGGCCCGCCGGCGGACGCCCCGCTCCAACTCCCAAGAGAGCGTGGAGGCCTCCCACCCGTCGCAGGATGGGAAAAGACAGTACAAGATGATCTGCCACGTCTTTGAGTCTGAGGACGTAAGGGTGGCTTCCCCGATTTCCCTCTGGGAGGTTCTCGTGAATTCTCTGAGCCCGAATCGGTCTATTGAGCAACCAAGTACAATTATGCCAGGCACTGTTCTAGAATGATGAGTATAAGGCTGAATAATGCACACAAGTACTCATCATACAGGCTGAAGGGAGACTGAAGACAGATAAATGCACTTAATATAAAATTAGGTAAGGGGAATGTTTGCTGAAAAATAAAACAAGGTCTGGGAATGGAGGGATGAAGCTATAATAAGTAGGGCGATCAACAAAGTCCTCTTTTATGGAGGTGCCATTTGAGCAAAGACCTGAATAAACTGAGAATAGGGAAAGTGCAAGTGCAAAGGCCCTGGGGTGGTGCTGTTGAGAATGGAAAGTTGGCTGTGCTGCTGGAAACCTTGGAAAGAGAACTCAGTGGAGCTGAAGCAGGCTGGGCTTGCCTCCTGCCTCCAGTGAGCAGGGCAGTCAGACCCAATTTGTAGAGGCTCAAGCAGATGTCACCTGAACACTAGGTGTTTGGAGAGGACAGTTCTTTACTATACAGAGCTGGCCTGTGGGTTACAGGAAAGTCAGGCCTCTACCCTGCTAACTCCAGTCCTTATGAAAACCAGCTCCTCTGTCACCAAGTCAGGGATTCCTAACCCTCATTCTGTCAAGTGATGAGGTCAACCGAAGAAATTAGTTTACAGCAGAGGTGTTTTCATTGGGCCTTCTTCCAGGACTGTCCCCAGAACTGCTTTAAACTGCATGAGCGCCCAGCTGCCCCAGCCACCCCCTTCCTGGGCTGCAGAGGCCTCAGAAGCTCCCTTCCCACTAGTTCCCCACTTGGTTCTGAATTGTGTTGCCTACCCTGCTCCCTTCCCAGCAGGGCCATGTAGTGACTGCTATGGCCCACTTTGCTTCCTTCCCTGCAGGGCCATGTAACTGCCACGGACTGTGCTCTTTTCCCCTGCCACAAAGGAGAAGGGAACCCTTATCCACCTAGAGAAAATTACCCATTTTTCTTTAGTGGCATGTTCACCTCGATGCTGTAAGTTGCTTTTCCAAGAACAGAGGAGCGGAGGCAATCTGGCCTTTCTCTAGGGAACCAGAGCTGTCATGGCTGCAGCCACAGCCAGGTGGAGACAATGACACCATCAATGTTATTTACTGGGCTGGTTCCTAGAAAGCAGCCACCACCGGAACAGGTCACTGAGAAGCCAGGGAGCTTGCAGTGCCTCTCCCTGCTGTGTTTTCAGACAGAGGCCAGGCATGCAGAGCCAGAGAAACGAGCTTGAGACAATTCTCAGAAAGCTCAGGCGTAAAATTTTAGAATCTTAGGCTTTGTGTCTACAGACCAGTGAGAAGGTGGCATTAGCTCTGCTCACAGACTTGATGGTCCCTGCAGGACCCCCCAACCCCCTCCACGTGACTTGGAGCTCCAAAAGAGGGGCTTCTTTTCCTTGGGTTTTTTTGGGTGCTCCATTAGGAAAGAATGGAGAAGCAAGAGCCAGAGTGAGAGTGGGCTGAGACTCTAATGTCTCTCTCTCTGCAGTGTGGAGCAGACTGCTCCACAGCTGGGAGTGCGGCTTTGCATCTATCTCTGTGAGAAAGCTGTGCAGCATAAAGCCTCAACTTCCTCCTCTGGAATGGCAGTGCCTATTGACAGAGGCTGCTGGGTGACTCTGACAGACAGTAGAGTTAAAACCTGGTACCTAGCATGTGGCCAGTGGACCATAAATCTTGGTAGCCAGTGCATTCACCAGCTTCATCATTAATGATGATGAGGGAGGTCAAGGTACATATTTTTCAATTCTTCCATATGCACATCTCAGGAAGGAAACAACACCTTGCCCCTTTCAGCTGCATGGCAGGATGGAGGGTGCTGTGACTTGTAGCATGAGAAGTCACCAGGTTCTCTGAGAGAGAAAAATTAAGCATTTCTTTTCCCCTGGCCAGCCACAGAAAGTTCTGGTATCACTGTTAACTAGCTGCTTTTACCAACAGTTAAGGAAGGCAGAAAAATGTTAGAATTTTTTTGCATTTAAAACATTGCTAGAAAGAATATATTTTTTTGGTTCTTCTGCCTGTCAGAATTTCACAAGAGAGGCTGCCCCATATGGTGGCTGGAGGGTGGACTTGGGATTCAGGCCCCCCACTTCTTAACCTGGCAGCTTCCATTTCCTGATCTGTCTTGTGAGGACAATAATACAGATTCACAATTCCACAACCCTCTGTGACTCGAAAGGGACTTTTGCAGTCAATTGACTGATAACCTGACTTCAACTCCAGTTGATCATGAATCCTATACATTTATTTGTAGGGCACTTCCCCCAGGCCGTAAAGGAGCTATTATACTACATTCATTATATGTACCTTTCTCTCTAAAAATCTGACCACTTCTGAATTCTGAAGAGAAGCCTCAAGAGTTTGAGATGAGCGAGTGTAAAATCTCCCACTAACACCTGTGATGTGTTACTCCCATTCATGTGATAGCCTATTCTGTGATCTAGGCATATAAGGAATACTCAGTCACTGTTGGCTAACCTGGCTTATGATGTTGCTTAATACAGAAAAAAAAAGGTGTCAAAACCCAGTGCAGAAGAGCCAGGTTCCCCTCCTATAGCCTGTGACCTTGAGCAGGTTCCTTTGTGTACCTGTGCCTTAAATCTCCTCACCTGTAAACTGCAGAATAGGACCAGAGCAGGGTTCATAAACTTTTGAAAATTTTTCACAAAATGAGCCAGGCCTGGTGATGAATGTAATACAAAAGAGAAATGAAGGCAAGGTAAAGTAAAGTAAGGGGACGGTCTGCTTCCACCCTACCATTCCAGAGACATAATGAAGTAGTCAGATGCTTCCAGCTCTGTGATTACTAAGTCTGTCTATAAGATAACACAGTATTCAGTGCAGCATTGGAAATGCCTTCCATCTGACATTTTGAATTCAAGGCTAAATAAGAATATGTATATGTAACCACAGGCAGAATCACCATGTAGTCACTGTGAGTGTACAGGCTGACGGGAAGTGATTTATTGGTAGCTCAGATTCCATGAACTGCAGTGATGTGGATGATTTTCCAAAGTCATGAGTTTACTCCTGGGAAAGGCTTGGACAAAACAAAGCTTCCCTCAGTTTACAAGGTATTATTGAAGTGTTAATGTAGGAACCACACAATGAAAGCCTGTATTTGTACCTGAATTAAAGTTCAGTCCTGAGCACAGTTGATTAGAAATATGTGTTATGTGAATAAGTGCGATATTTGAAAATTGTACAGAATGTAGAATGACTTGTCATTGGGTGGGACCGTCCTCTGTGTGGCAGGCTGTCCAGTATCTCTCACTCCTTTCCACTGAATGCCAGTATCTCCTTTATGATCACTGTTATAATCAGCAAAATCCCCTGGTAGCTGGGTGCCGTTGGCTCACGCCTTTAATCCTAGCTACTCAGGAGGCAGAGATCAGGAAGATTGCAGTTTAAAGCCAGTCCAGGCAAATAGTTCATAAGACCCTATTTCAAAAATAGACAACACAAAAAAGGGGTGATGGAAGTGGCTCAAGCAGTAAGAGTGCCTACATAACAAGCATGAGGCTCAGAGTGCAAACCACCCCAAAAAAGGAACATTCCCTGGAAGGCACTGGTGCCCCTGTATAGAATGAATAGCATGTCTAGGTCCCTTCAAGCTCCAGGAGGAAGAGTTGGTGGGGTGATGGGAAGTGTACCAGACATCCACCCACAGCACTGCCCACTGCCCACCATCTTCCCCTTTGGCTCCTATTCTAGGCCCAGCTGATCGCACAGTCCATAGGACAGGCATTCAGCGTGGCATACCAGGAATTCCTCAGGGCCAATGGAATTAACCCTGAAGACCTCAGCCAGAAGGAGTACAGTGACCTGCTCAACACCCAGGACATGTACAATGATGACCTGATCCACTTCTCCAAATCAGAAAACTGCAAAGATGTAGGTACTTTCCTAGGCTGTTCCCAGGCTGGGCAGGGGCTTGGGGAAAGTGGGCAGGGAAAGTGGGATAGCCCAACTGTGGAAGTGGAGGCTGAAGAGTGTGGTGTTAGTACAGCAGCTCACATCCGCTGGGACCCTGTCACTAAGTGCTGTTGTGAATGGTGTAGACAAAGGCAAAGCATCCTCTGCTCCCAGGAATCCCAAGCCATGTTTTGAGTGGATTCTACTGATGGATAGGACCTTACCCCTGCCCTTATGAAGCCCACAGACCAGGTAACAGCACCAAAAATGTTCAGTGATGGTGTAGGTTCAAGCACTGGTCAAAGCCACACACAAAGAGATCACAGTTCAGAGAATAGACGCTGTGCTCCCTGCTATCCAGGCTGAGCTTCCTGGGACTTTCTGGTGGTCTGGAAGTCATTTGGAACATAGAGGAGCAAGCAGAGAGCTGAACTGAGGCTACAGTATGGAAGCCTGATAGTCAGAAAGCTCCGGATGGGTCAGAGTCAGGAAGGAGGTGGTTTGACTAGAGCAGGGGACACAGGAAGAGATGGAGAGACCAGAACAAGGCCCAAGTCACAACTGGAGGGCTTGTAAGCCCAGCCAAAGGGTTTAGGCTTTCACCCATAGTTAGATGGAATCTTTAATGAGAAAGTGATATTTTGATCCATTTGTGTACGTTAAGTGTCTCGGGTCAGGCTCCCAGAAGCAGAGCCTGAAACAAGGATTCTTGTTGAGGAGGTTTTTTGGGAACCTGCGCTCAGCACAAAGGGGGAGCGTGTGGAGCAGGGTGGTGAAATACTGGGCATGAGTTTCCTTCTAACCCCAGGGAGACCCTTGGTCACCAGCTGCAGGACAGGTCCAGCCCACCTTGAGGTAAGGCAGCTGGCAGGCCCTCATACCCCTTGTCTCTCATTGACCAAGGATTGCAGGGGGCATATTCATTTGCTAGGGCGACCGTAACAAAGTACCACAGACCAGGTGGCTCCAAGGACAGCCATGAATCGTCTCTTCTGGAGACTGAAAGTACATGATTGAGGTGTTGGTAGAGTTAGTTCTTTCTGAAGGCCAAAAGGAAGAGTCTCCCCAGCCTCTCTCCTTGGGTTATAGATGGCTTCGCCTTGTCTTCATATTATCTTCCCACTACATGTGTCTTTGTGTCCAAATTTCCTCTTCTCAGTACTTCAGCCACACTGGATTAGAGCCTATCCTTTGACTTCATTTTAGCTTGATTACCTCTGTACAGGCCCTGTCTTCATTTTGAGGAACTGGGGCTTAGGACTGCAGCATTAATTTGGGGAGCAGAGAATACTGCAACCCATAATGGGGTATCTCCCATTTGGTAAGGACAGTTCTTCAGGGAAGGGCCAACTGTGAGCTTCAGCTGCTGAGGGAGGGAGCAGCTGTCAAAACCCAGTAAATGCACATATATGCTCTGTTGGACAGATCTTGCCTTTGCAGCACTTCTACAAATCTCCCTACAATGCAGGTGTCCTGCTTTCTCTGCCTGCCAGTGGGGGTCACAAAAAAATTATGGGTGTCCAGGATAGGATCTTCCTGTGTGCAGTCTCAGCCTTTTGGTTGTGACAACTTCTGCATCATTTTCTTCCTCCTCAACTTTCTCTTTATAGAGAAATGTTTCTGTGTGTTTATTTTTAACTCGAGAATCGTAAATGTTGGGAGAGAATTTATGAAGCACTGTGGAATGGGAAAACCTTTGCATAGAACAAAAGCCATTTCCAGAAGCCATAACACACTACCAAAGCTCCCACTCACAGAGTTTCTTTCCCTTGCCATGGAGGGTGACAAATTAAAAAGAAGAAAAAAAAAAATACCAAGTGCCCTTGGTGGTTGCTGAGGTCAGATTGCTAGTCTAGCGTGAAGCAGGATGAAATACAAAACAAGGTGTGAGCCTGCGTGACAGTCCTTACAAATGCCACACACTGCAGAGAAGTCAGGAGCTCACCTGGCTGCAGGAAGCAGGGAACATTTTGATTTCTACCTCTGCCCCACACTTTGCTGATCTGGGCTTTCTACGTGTGTTTCTCCTTTCAGGTTTTCATAGAGAAGCAGAAAGGAGAAATCCTAGGAGTTGTGATTGTGGAGTCTGGCTGGGGGTCCATCCTACCAACTGTGATCATTGCCAACATGATGCATGGAGGCCCCGCAGAGAAGTCTGGAAAGCTGAATATCGGGGACCAGATCATGTCTATTAATGGCACCAGCCTGGTGGGCCTGCCTCTGTCCACCTGTCAGAGCATCATTAAGGTACCTGACCATGACACAGGGGTGGGGTTCTGTCTCTGTCATAGAACCGAAATGACGTGAAGTGTGGCTGTTATCCAGTCATTACTATTTATGAATGCATTTTAAGCTGAGGCACCAAAGGAGGTACAAATACAGAAGGCCCAGACTAGACTCAAAGCAGCTTGCCCTCAAGTTACTGTTTACAAACTCCTCCTGAGTCGTTTTTAGATCAGGGATAGTATACTTGGTTCACATAACACCACTGTCTAATACCGTGCCAGTCAAAGGCATAACTAATCAATCACAGCACTGTCTCCCACGAATCCCAGACTCTGCTTCAGCAGAATTTTCCTCAGCACAGTAACCCGTCAGTCCTTTATAGTCAGCCAGATGGACATGAGATGATTTTAAAAGTCATGGAAATGCCGGAAATCTGAGAACACAGGAAGTCTGTGACACACAGGTAGTTTGTCCTTCTCCCAGAGCCTACTAGCTGCTTGCTGTAAAAAGGAAACTCTGTTACAGCCCGTGTATTCCTTGTCATACCTAACATAATCACTTCTTGTTCAACCTGGACTGAACCACTTAAAGGGCTAGAACACAGTTCGGGGAGATGAATGAAGAATTCATACAATAGCCATTCTGAGCAAAAGAAGATCACACAAAAAAGCCACTGTCTTCATCTGAGAGGGTAGGGTGGAGGTTGAGTGTACAGGACCCAGGGTTGGGTGCTTTTCTTGTGATCAGATCCTGCCTCTTGCTTAATATACGATCATCTGTCATTTAATTATAGGGCAATACATTCCAACAAAATACATTTTTAGCTGGTTTTGTTATTTTGCCATCATCACTGAATGCTTACACAAATTTCATCACCTTTATTGTACTGGAGATACCTTAATCATGTGATCTGTGAACTTGCTGCCAGTCTACCAGACGTATTGTCTTATAGTAGACCTGTTTTTAAATAAGTAATGCATTCTAAGATAATGATAAAAAGTGTAACATAGTAAATGCATAAGCCAGTAACAGAGTCATTTGTCATTATCGAGTGTTAAGCACTGTAAGTAGGTATGTGTGCTGCACCTTATATAACTGGCAGTACAGTGGGTGTGCTTGCACCAGCATCTCCACAAACACATGAAGAGTGGGTTACACTACCATGTTAGGACGGTCACAGTGTCACTAGGCATTGGGAATTTTGCAGGTTCACTCTTCCCTTGTGGGACCACTGTTGTATATGCAGTCTGCGTAACTACAATTTCTTTATGCAACACCTGATAGTACATTAATAAGATTAGAGAATTGACATTGAACATGGCTATTCATTGAGACATGTTTAATTGGGCCTCTTTTAGGTGCTGAGCTGAACCATGGAGAAGCTAGAATACCAATATACATGTGGAGGCTGATTATATCACTGAAAAGGTTCAGTGGGCCCTAATAGCAACATAGAGGTAAAAGCCTGCAAGAATTTAGAGGAGAGAAATTTTTATAGGATGATGGTTAAGTTGACCTTCGAAGAGTAAAACCTGGGTGGGTAGCAGAAAGGACAGTGGACTGGCGTCAAATCAGAGGGACAGGCTCTGAGCCTGACCTGAGAGGGCTGATCTGGTGTTGTTAAGATGATGTGGAGAGGGGAGGAGGGGCCTAAGGTAGGGAGGTAGGACCACATAGCATCTCTCTTTCCCCATTGAACAAGGTACTTGTTAAACACCTGTGTGCAGGTATGAGAAGCACAAGGGGCTGTGTAGCCCAAGGGCACAGCACATACAACCCCCACTAGGGGCTTGGTCAATAGGAAGAGGTGACAGGACTGTTAGCCACAGATTAGCTAATGGAACTCTTGTGACAGCTTCTGTGGGGCAGATATCATCCTTTCACCCATAGCACAGGTTAGGAAAACTCAGTCACAGAAAGGTGATCACATAGCTGGTCACAGGTAGATCCCGGTCACTCAGCCAGTAGACAGCCTGCGTCCAATGCCAGACTTTCAGCCAGGAGTGATCTTGCACACCCTGGAGACTCTCTCAGCTGTCCCACTGGGGAGGAGGTACTACAGGCATCCAGGAGGTGGAGGCAGGGATGCTACCAAACATCCTACAGTACACAGGACAGAACCCCCCACCACCTCAAAGACTTATCCAATCCAGGGGTCCATGGTCCCCTGATAGGGGCTCTGGAATTCAGGTGTAGAACAGAAATCAGTGAGATGAAGCTGAGTGAGAGAGACTTTGTGGGAAGTTGGTATGGGCTGGGGAAGTTTTGAGATGTGGAGAAGGGAGTATTTTAGACTGAATGTGGCCCCTCAGAATAATCCGTTGAAGTTCTAATTCCATTATGGGGTATTTGGAGGTAGGGCATTTGGGAAGTGATTAGGTCATGAGGGTGGAGCCCTCATGAGTGGGATCAGTCCCTTATGCCAAGGACCCCAGAGGGCTTTCTGGTTTTTTCTCCCTGCAAGGACAGCCAAAAATCAGCAGTCTACAACCAGGAAGAGGCCCCTCATTAGATCCTGAGTAAGCTGGCATCCTCACCTATGACTTCAGCCTCCAGAACTGCTGGAAGTAACTTGATTACAAGGGACCAAGTCTGCAGTACTTTGTTACACCGGCTGAGTTGACTGAGACAAGAGGCTAACTTAAGTGAAGGTGGGGACAAGAAAGCAGGAATTCTCAAGGATTGGCTGGCTCCACCTCAGTACCTGGCCTTCCCACAAGCCACCGCATCCTCTCAGGACAGCCTTGAGGGGGATGGCCAATGCCTAGTTCATACATGAGTCATCTGAATCCCTGAAGGCACAGACGACTTGCTAAGGATCTCCAGCTGGCCAGTGAGCCTGACAGTCCTCTCCATTCTCCCTGACACTCTCCAAAGGAGACAGATCAGATGAAGGGGCTATGAGATCTGTGAGGGTAGCCTGACTGCCTTTGCTGCCACATGGGGATTCAGCTCTGTCCCATGGGTTACCAAGTCAAGGGAGAAACAAAGCTTGCTTCAGTGTGCAAACAGCTGCCTGAGAGCTTCCTACGGGGGAAGATTTGTTTGAGTAGCTAACTTTGATGCCTGTAAACAGGGTCTCCATAGAATCAGAAGATTAAACAGCCGTGTGATCATGAAAGAGACATAGCTCATGAAGATGGAGTGTAAGAAATCCACTACCTCCATGGCTGCCCTCAGAAGAGGCAAACATAGCAGCCAGGCTCCAGTTACAGTCTGCAGAGCGATCTCAGTGCCCCCAGATATGCAGCTTTGTTGAATGAAAAAATGAGATTGCCCATCTGCGGCCTACCTTAGCTAGGGGGAGTGGGGAATTGATCAGTGCTACCTGCTGGAATCACCAGTACCAAGTGCAGATTGACTTTCTGTGGGTTGAGTACTGTTTAAATTCTCTAGCCAATACCTCCTTTTTTTGTTGCACTGCCTCAGTCACTGCCAGGGAACATCTGGACTTGAAAGCCTTGTGGTCGTGTTTGTTTAGTGTGCCTCAGTGCGCTTGGAAGTATCTAAGCCAGCAACTCGCATCCTGATAAAACCCAGTGCTGAGACTCTTGCAGCTCACCCAGGGATCTTGTTAAAATGCAGGTTCTGATCTGACAGGTCTTGAGTGGGCTCTGTATTTTCAGCAAACTACCAAGGGTGGTAACATCACCAGTCTTCAGTTCACACTTTGAGGAACAGGCATCTAAAGCAGTGTTTTTTGCATATTGCCATTTCATTGCATGCTGGCCTTTTGCTCTCCCAGGTTGCAGGCAGTAGAATATATGTCTAAAGGTATAGAAATCAAATTATCTAATTGTTTTCCTAGCTCTTACTTTTCCCATTACAATTCTTTCCTGAAGCATCATTACTGGTAGGTGAAGCATGTTAGCATGTGTATCTGCTCACTCCATTGGCTCCAAGTCCTGCCCTCTGGATTTTTGTTCCTTTTTAACCTAGAGCCCAGCTTCCCTTTCCTTCACAGAATCATCATAGTTCTGCTCTCCTGTTGCTATAGAAACCATTCTGGCTTCTTCCCCTCCCACCATATTTCTTAATTTGCTGCAGCATTCCACTGTTGGCATGGAGACAAAATGACCACTTATTTAATTGGCACCTCCAATAAAATGGCAGCTAAGAAATCTAAGTTAATGGGACCAAACTTCAAACACTGATTAGGAGCAGCAGAGCAAACGCACCGTCTGGTTATTTCAAATCATTTCTCCCAGCCTCGTTTTGCAACACCCTTTCCCCAGTCTTAAAATTCTTTTGCTGAGGGACCAATCAGCCACCTGCAGTCAATTCGCATAAAAAGAAACAAGCCCACTAGAGCAATGTGAATATTTTAGGTTACACTGAGAAAATAGGGTCATTCTCTTGCATTTCAGTGTGTTCGGTAAGGTTTGGATTGCACAGGCATACCAGAATAATCTTGGCAGTTAATAGGTATAAAAGTTTAAGGTAGGTAGCTTTGTCTGAAGGGTTGTGATTCTGACAACAGGATCCTGGCTTAGCCTTCTTAGCTTTTGTTTCCCACGAATTCTTGGTCTCATGATGCCAAGAAGCCCCCTCTGGCTGGCCTTCCCCGTGCCCTGCAGCCCTGTCTTAATTCTCACATTCTGTCTTGTCCACCCCTCCCCTGAGCTCCAGGGAGCCCAGGGATGCCTTGCCTCGCCCATCCTCCAGGATCTAACACATTTTCTTGGAACATAGAAGTGACTCATAAATATTTTTTGATTACATGAACAAGAAGGAAAAAACACTCAAAAGAAATAAATATATGCACAAACAATATTCTGAGCTTCCCTTTGCCATACCCCCCACTCCCTGCAGAAGACGCCTATTTTTAATGGTAGGGAATAGATGTTTTCAAGTGTACTGGCTGAGATTTGGTGTTGAGGACATATAAAGAAAATATATGTGAGGACTGGGAGGAGTGGCTCAAAGGTGCTAGAGCACCCGTCTAGCAAGTGTGGAGCCCTGAGTTCAAACCCCAGTACCACCGAAAAAACATGCGAAAAGGGGTTAAAAACAGAAATTGGACTTGGCAAAGTTTTACCCTCTTAGGGGAAGAGAAAACTGAGATACAGCAAAGTGCCTGAGAGCTGCACCCCCCCCACCCATTTGTGGTAGCAGAAACACAATGACAGTGCAGGTCTCTGACACCAACACAGTTCTCCTCAGCGGGCCATGCTCGTCTCACTACTAGGAGCTAAAAGCCAGAGCATTATCTCCCTGACAACATGGGTGATGGACCTGCTGTTGTGCATGAAGTCCAGGTTGTTTACAGACTCTCATCCAGAAAGAGGCACACTCCACTCACTCCATTGCTTGCTTCAAAGATAACATTTCCTTAACCAGAGAAGTCCCCTAGCAACTGGGGGACACTGGTGATGGTAACATGAGTGTGAACACCAAGTCTCATGGTGCATGCGACCACAAGCCAAATGACAGCCACTGGAAAGCTCAAATCCCCCAGAAACAGAGCACTTCAGAAGGGAGGAAACTCACACTGAGAGGACCAACTGGAATCACCCCAAAAGGCAATGAGTAGGAAGGATATGAGGATCAGGAGCCCTGAAAAACTCATACTATGTAAGATGGTGACCTAAAACATGACCCCGATTCAAGGTTGGAATAAAAGATTTGGGTTTTTTTCTTCTTTAGCTGTTTATGGCCTCTTTGTTGAGCAAACCTTAATCATGAAAGGCACCGTCACACTACATATGTGTGTATACACATGTACGGATGCATGTATGAGAAAGCATTATGGATTTTTAAAACGATGGATCTGGGATAGAAGCTGGCTGTGTATGAACTTGAGTGAATCACTTAGTATTTCTGAGCCTCAATTTCCTCTTCTATAAAATAGGAATAATTGTATAGCTGCCACTTTGTCAGGGAGATTAACTGAGGCAGCTCCTGTGAACCTCCAGATGGTGCCGTGCAGGAGTCCACGTTCACTGGCAGGTGGTTACTATCCTTGTGACTGGGAGGGATGTAGTGCAGAGCAATCCTGGGGGTGCTCACACATTCTGCAGACATGGAGATGACTGAACTGGGCCAGGCTGTGCAGTGACTGAGCTAACCATCCCTCCCACAAGCTGTGTGCCTTCCCCAGTCTTCCTAGGATCCACAAGTGTGGGTAGTAACTGGCCATCTGTAGCTCTAGTCACCTTGGAGAAGTGAAGTCCCTGGATACAGGAGAGGCAAGGTCTGTCTCTCACCTGTTGTCAAGCCTGAGCAAGCATCAGAATCACCTGGAAGACTTGTTAGCACAGGTTTTTGGGTTCTCCACACCCTACCCCTGCCAAGATTTTCTGATTCAGATGGTCTGGGGTGGAGCCCAGAATTTGCTTCCTAACATATGACCACATACTAGTGCTGCTGCTGGCGTGGGGCTGGAGAATCCTATTGGCCAAGCATAGCAAGGTCAGCTACCCAGAGGCAAAAAAAGCCTCTGTCCCTCAATCTAAAGCAAACCATCATTACTTAGAAACGAATGATGTGTGGGTGTCTTCTGCCACTCAGAGTAGCAAGTCACACCCTTGCCACCAAGTCTTTTGGCGCTGATGCTTTCTAACCCCCATTTCACCTGTGTTGAGCAAGGTGCTTGTGAGGTAGGTGGAGGCCAGAGCAGGGAGCCCATGATCTCATTCCTGACTGCGTAGAGCCCTTGGACAAGATTTCATACAGATGTCTGTGTTCTCATCTATAAAATGAGAACCGTGAGTCCTGACCTCTGGCAGGCAAAGTTTGCAGACTAGGTCGGGAGTGATAGAGGAGCTGTGGAATTAGAAGATTGCTATTTATAGAATTGGAGGCAAGCCATCACCTTCATGTGTGCCTTTCCTGGGTTTGTTCTCCCGGTATCTCTCTTTCCACCTCGCTTACAGTGGGCACATACTGGACCCGTGGTCAGTTCCAGGGTGCTGTCTCTAGGGACACCATGAGCCTGGATAGAATAGAGGCCATCTTTTCCCTGAATCCCTCCCTTTCCCCTGGTGGCTTCTCTCTCCTGAAGGAAAGATTGCTCACCCACCTTGAGAATGTGTTTTAAGAACACCTTCGCCCTTGTCCCTTAGAGAGCGACTGTGCCTGACCTTGAGCAGTTTCCTTCAGCTGGCCTTAGCAGATGGGAGTCCAGGCAGGCTGGTGCTGCCTGCCTAAGTGCTCTAGCAGCAGGGCCAGGCAGCAGACCCACCAGCCACAATAGTGTGGTCTTCTTGTCCCATGACGCAAACATAATTTTCTCTGTGCACTGAAACTTGAAGCCGCCTGGGAAGCTACTGCTGTGAGCCCTTGCCTGTACCTGCCCCAGCAAGCCAGAGTCTTCAGAGGCAGAGCAGGCCATCTGGAAGGTACTGGTTACTTCTGCCTGGCCCCTCCTCTCAGCATGAAGCGGAGGAGGTGATAGGTGGGCCTCCCTGAGGAAGGGACAGGGTAGCTTTGTGCTGCTTTTCTAAAGGAGAGGGAAGGGCCCCTGTTACTGCTCGGAGTGTGATCAGAGAACAGGAGCCTGAGCTCAGCCTAGACCACAGCAAAGTGGCGGAAGCTGCAGACAGGCTCAGAAACACATTTCCTTTCCAAATTCAAAGACCAGCTTTCCTTCCATGCTCCATTCTGATCTAGAGGGAGGATCTTGACACCCTGAAGAGTCTCTATGTCTTATTTCTTCTTCCCTCTCCATCAACACCCATCTTCCAGCCACCTCCACCATCCTCCAAGGAGGCACACACTACTTGGAGTCCAGTTCTCCTCCCTGCTTTCCTACTGAGATTGGGCAGAGTAGCATCAGAGACCAGAGAAAACAGGCCCAGGTCAGCGGGCTGCTTGCTGTTGATTTTCATTGTCCCTTGTTAGTCATCACTGCTTAGAGAGTTTGCCTGGGGAAAAAAGTTTGTTTCCCGCTTGTGTCTCTCCTGACCACCAGAGATCGTGTGTATCACCCATCTTTGAAGCCAAAAAGCACTTGTGCCACTGCCTCACAGTTGCACTCTTATTCAGCTCCCTTGAACGCCGTCCGTTCCCCAAAATGAAAATGCCCCCTGCAGGAAACCCATCTCCATATGGACTCCACCTTGACCCGGTAGTTTCTCCCTTAGGTACCTTCTCAAGTGTCAAGGCCTCTGGGCAGTGAGGACTCTGGAAGACTCATGGGGGATGCTTCTGCTTTGGGCGCCATTGGCTTTGATTTATTCTGTCCACCTCAAGAGTCACTGTGTCCATTGTATTTTATTCACGTTTAAGGGCTTGAAGAATCAGTCGCGAGTGAAGCTGAATATTGTGAGATGTCCTCCGGTGACCACCGTATTAATCAGAAGACCAGACCTTCGCTACCAGCTGGGTTTCAGTGTCCAGAATGGAATTGTAAGTTCACCTCACTCCATACCCTCTTCCACAATATGTATTTAATATAATAATTTTATTTTTTTATTGTGCTGAGGATACATTGTGGCATTTACAGAGGTTCTTACAATATATCAAATATATCATAGGTGAATTCACCCCCTGCATCATTCCCCTTCATTTTCCCTCCCCCAAAACGTTGACTAATGAAAATGTAGCTGTGTTTGATTTTTTTTTTTAAAAAAAGCTGGTCCATTCTCTGAAAATATTCATCCAGGAAGAAGCCTTTTGGTTTTGGGGTTTAATTGACTAGACCTTGGGGGTTGTATTTGTGGGTTGTGCATACTACACAAGCACCCTCAGCCCTAGATCCCTGGTTTTAATCTCAGATGTGGAAAGAAGCTAAGGATTATTTTCACCCCAGAGTATCAGGGAGTCAGAAGAACCCACACCCTCCAACATACTAAGTGTGTTTGTCGCAAGTCTGTTTGCATAGGCTTTTAAGTAAAGATGGACAGCCTGGAATATAAAGTCAGCTTGATTAGCACTTACTCCTGGACAATTCAAGTTGCTTATGTGTGAGGTGGGGTACCTATACCCTGCAGCCACGGAGGGCTCCTTTGCCAGAGGCCAGGAGCCTCACCCAGTACAGTGCCTAGCTGTGCCATGACAAAAACCAGCCTCAGTGCCATTTCTGTAGGAAAATGAGTTTGACCAAGAGCCAAAAGGTGCCTCTCCTCTCTTGCCAGCCGCACTGTGGAACATCTGCAGAGTTCCAGTGCCACTTTGGCTCATGCATTGGTGACCCTAATTAAACAGAACTGGCATTAAACAGTTCTGTGTGAGAGCCCCACTCTCACTGTGGGAGGTCCGTCTAACCTGTGCTGCACAGGCTGATCGTCTGAAACACTAGCACCCAGGTGACAGGCCCAGGGGGAATGAGAAGTAGTCAGAGCTCAGCATGCCATGAAATCCAGTGACATGCAGCATTCTCTGTGCAAAAAACACAAACAAGGCAGCCCGAGAACCTGCCAAGCCTATTTCTGGTGAAAAGAACCCAAGAGACTTAAATGGCCCAAACCTCGCCAGTCAGCTTCTCAGGGAAGACAGTTTCCCGTCTGTCCCTGCGCGTGTCTAAGACGTCCTGCCAGGAGGTGTAACTTGGTACTTGGCTCTGGCAGATCTGCAGCCTCATGCGAGGGGGAATAGCGGAGAGAGGAGGCGTCCGTGTCGGGCATCGGATCATCGAGATCAACGGGCAGAGTGTGGTGGCCACACCCCATGAGAAGATCGTCCACATCCTCTCCAATGCTGTTGGGGAGGTAGGAGTAAGGCCCAGCAGGGGCTGAGGGTGCTCTCTGGTACCCCTTGCAGGGAACCTGCCAGAGCCTCCCTTTCCCTCCCAGGTGCTCGTCAATATCTAGAACCTTCTGGACCAAATGTTACACCCATGAGCCAGTGGCTGTCTGACAGCTCCCAGAATTATTTGCTCACCTTCCCCTCAACACTTAGAGTTGTATTGCTTCTCTTTGGGGCTCCCCAAGTTTTCTGGTTTTCTCAGTTCATTCCACTAAATGTGCTTGGAAGATACAAGTCTCGTAACACAGTGGTCCTTAGAGGCATCTCTCTGGCCCAGCCTCACCTGGCATCCTCACTGTAGTGCTAGGGCCAAGGGACTGTCGTTTCCTTATTGCAAAGGGAGGCAGAAACAATTAGAAGCCCAGAGCCACCTTCCATTTGAAGAATTGTGACTTTCAAAGGACTGGTGAGAATAAGAGCATTTGACAGGGAGTGTAAGCCTTCCCTGGTTTTCCTTGTTCATTTCCCACTACCCTTGCACTTTCTAGAAAGACTTCCATTCTTCATGGAGGCCACCTGGGGTTAGGTCCCCAGAAGCGTTGGGGCACGATCTTGGAAGGCCCCCATGGTGGGAGGTACTGCCCATAAGGTCCTTCCCAGCCTCTACCCCAGTTAACCCGCTCTCTGCCCTCAGATCCACATGAAGACGATGCCAGCAGCCATGTACAGACTGCTGACGGCCCAGGAGCAGCCCGTTTACATCTGAGTGTGCGCCTTGCAGGGCCATGCATGGAGGACTCTCCTCACCGTCGTTGTGTTTCTTGTGCTGCATCCGTGTGTCCACTGAGATAGTCCCCTCTTGCCCAACATTCGGTCTTACACAGGAAGAGAAGAATCCGCTGTGTCTCTCTCCAGGTTGTTCTCCCCAGCCCCTTCTGTAATACCAGGGAAGTTCAGTATGTGCTCCCTTGAGGTTGGAGATCTTCCCTGGACCATCCTGGAGGGCCTTTGGAAATCCCAAGGGGGCCTATTGCTCCCCAAGACGCAGATCTCCTAGGAGCTCCCAGAGGCAGGAGGCAGTGCGGGGCCCACTCAGCGGTGACTAAAACCCAGTTGCTGATCTCTGCTCTCATCGCCTTGCTTGATGGGAAATGGTAGTGATGGGAAAGCCATGCCTTTAAGGATATATATGCACTGGCCGCTGTGTAGTTGGGGTGCCATACGTCATTTCTGCCCAGAATTTCTGACCCAACCTTAAGCTTCCTCCATTGCTAGTTTTAGTTTTGATGTGTGTGTGTGTTCTAATATGAGCCTTCTCATCCAAGGATAAAAGGGGAAAATGACAGCATTGGACAAGGCTACCATAGTGCCACAGAGAGCTGGACAGTTCACTGGGTATCTGAAGCTTTGCCAGGTTGTCCCAAGGTTACCAGTCAGTAGATAATCACATAGATAATCACAGGCAGGCACTGTCTGCTTTTCTGTAACACACACACACACACACACACACACACTCGCTTGCAGATCACTCTTCCCTGCTCCCCACCACCAGTGAGGTAAGCTGACAATCTGGTACACAGAGCCCCCTAGAAAACCCACAGCACCTTCCTGGGAGACCCCTTTCCCCCCACCCCCACAGGAGGTCAAGCATGCAGGAGGTAGCTGGCCTGGTCCTGAGAGAGATGTCCTCCCTGGCTGGGGCACGGCCCTCCCAATTCCACCTTGACCTTAAGAGTGTCCTTAGACTCCCCTACCCCCGTGTGCACATCTGGGTGTTCTCAGAGAGACAGACTATTCCCCTAGAAGATGGTGATATGAGTGCCCTAGTGTCATGCTTCCTGGTCCAAAGTGAGGCCAGCCTTATGTTCTGCCGGAGCCACTGAGCAGGACATGGTGTTTGAAAGGCAGAATAGCCATAACTCACAAAATTAAAGGGACAATAATGACCTCAAGTTATGCCTAAGAATCCCCAGATGTGTTCCAGAGACTTTGTCTTGCTGCCTTCTGGGTCTGAGAGAGTTTCCAGCTGGTGTAGAATGTTCTGTGTTTCTATCAGGTGCCTCACATTTGTGGGCTACGTCTCTGCCCAGTGCAGGTGTTTTAGTGATATTATTATTCTGAGCTGGTCACTTATTCTTGGTCCAAAGATCATGTGGGGTATGGTTTAGTTTTTTGTTTTGTTTTGTTTCATTCATGACCTCAGTAGAGACAGGGGAAGAAAAAACAATATATTTTGTAATATTATTATAACCCCTGATCTCTGCATCTGGGATATTTATGTTATGTCTGTGGAAATAGGGATTCAGTGAGCAAATGTTAGGTAAGATGGAGTCATAGAATAGAGGGATTGGGGAAGGGAGAAACATGAGTATAACAAGATCAGGAACAAGAGACTTCAGCCAGAAAGCAATGTGGTTCCTGCCCAAGACCCTGGACTTACAAGTTCACTGCAGAGAGTCAGGCAAGCCAAATGCTTGAAAGGAACCAGTGGCTGAACTCTGTTTGATTGTTCTTCAAAAAGTCCTGTGAAGACAGGCCACTGGCCACCCGGATGTCCAATCTGGGAAGAGAAGGGGGTTTGGCTGCTGCAGAGAGCTGTGTGGGGTGGGAGTGGGGGGCCAGCATTGGTGATCCAGGACCCCTAGATCTGTGTGAAGGATGCGTAACAGTGCGCTGCTGAGTGACCCACTTGAGGGTCAGCCCACCACAAGTGTGAGGACCAGGACTACAGCCCAGGCTCTATTTGCCTTTCCACAAATAACCAGACTGCAGAGTGTCTAAAATGTCATCAGTGCATCTCCCCTCTGCCAAAAAGAGCCAATAAGTAGGACAGGGAAGGAAGCACTGTCAGTGACACTGCAGGCAGCAGGAGCCTTAGAAGACATTTGGAGGGGCTCCTGCCTGTGTGCTCCCAGCTGACCACTCTGGGCACCTCCCAAGCACCTGGACAAGAACACACAGGCTGGTCCACAATTGGCCAGGGGACAGGAACTCCACCCACATGCCCCTTTATAGCCCCCAAATAACTACTGTTAATTATGTTTACCCCAGGGAGAAAGGAGAGAGAAAATACTTCCTATTCCTGTTGCACAATAACCTTGGAAACTTCCAAAGGTGCTGAAAAGCCAATTTTATAAGCTCTCCTAGACAACTAACATTTTAGCATAAGAGTAAGACTATATATCCTCCACGTTATTTTGTGTCCATCAGAGTGGTTCCTCACACCTGGAGGGAAGTTGTCAGAGCCTGGTCCAGGCCCACCTGGCTGAAGCGTCTTTTTCCTCTACTAACATCAGCCTGGGAGTGGTGAACCTCAGAATTGGGGTCTCAGATGTTAGTCAAATGAAAGTCCCAAGAGAGTGGTGGTCTCTTTTCCTTCTAACACCCCATATGTATAGTTATATATGTAAATATCTCAGCATCCCACACAAGGGGGTAGACTATGTACAGCGCAACCTTTCTCCACACTGTGAGGCACAAAGTCACTCTAGCTTCTCAGTTGGGACAGGCTGGTGACTCACCTTTGGGAACAGGCTCCGAGATTCGCCTCCCCCTCCTAGTCCAGTCACATTGTACCAGAATCCACCATTCTATGCTGTCTCCATGGGAGCATTTCAGGGAGCCACCATAAGCCTTGGGTGTTTATGAGAGGAAGAAACCCCCAAAGACCAATGCCTGGAGCCCACTTCCCAAGCAACACCTGCCTCCCTCACCAGAGCCGGCTCCTAGGGGGTGGAGCATATCACACGGGTTTGCTTTCTGAACATTGCCCATCAACACTGGCCTTCAGAGAGTCCAGAGTAACCTACTACCTCCCGCATTGCTCCTCCTCTCCCCTGAAGCCCCCATCCGTACCCAACACTCCCTGTTACACACCCATCCACAGAGACCATCTTGGGCCTCTCCACCCTGTGGTGTAGTCATTATCTATGTTTACAACCAAGGTCCACCTCTTCCTGATGCATTAACTCTCACCTTCACCAGGCCACTTGGTTTTGAGTTTCACCTGTGTCTGCTCCCTCCCTGGTTGGAGTCCACTTAAGCACACAATTCTTAATTTGATTCCCCCCCCTCCATCAAGGCAGTGTGTGAGGACCATGTGGGGATGAAATCTCTTGTACATACTTAGCACAGCACCTAGAGTATGAACTTGTATTACCGTGCTATAAAGAGGGTGCGATAGAGCTTATTGCACAGGGTCAGGAGAAGTCTAGTATTGTATTTGTAACAATATTGTTCTTTGTATACACTCAATGATCTCTATATATAAATATAAATAAAATATATAAATACAATGTATCTACACGTGAGCCTGGAATGTTGGCACTGCACACCCACTGAATGTATATCCTCTGACAGTCTGGTCACCAATCCTGGCCTGCCCTCTCTTCTACATACTGTGACCGCAGTTGTCTGGTTTGGGTTGTGATGTATTTAAATGTGCTTTCTCCTTATTTAACTGAACGCTAATGTCTGTATAAGAGTTGCTGCAACAATAAACAAGAACGTCACCTCTTGCCCTGACTGAGCATCTGATTGTTTCAGGGTAGGGACAGGACTGTTCCAGCTCACTGAGAGAACTCTGGCTTCCCTAATGGGCCACCTCCTGCCCATAGGTACTACTTGCTGCTCGGAGCCAAGCTTTTATTTGTGAAGCTGACTTGGTTTTAGACACCAGAGGTTGTTACAGCTAGTGTTCCACCAGGAGGCTATGAATGGGAGAAGAGACCCTTGGATTTCATATTTTGTTCCCTCATTGAGAGAAGGGAAATAGGAATTCATTTCCCTTTTTCTTTTTTTTGTTTTTGGTGGCACTGGGGTTTGAACTTAAGGCCTCATGCTTGCTATACAGGCACTCTTGCCACTTGAGCTACTTCACCAGCCTCTGTGGAATTCATTTCCCCCTCCTCCCCCAGAAACCCCCCAGGTGGCCTGTGTTAAGCCTGTGTAAGAGTAGATAGCAAAACAGTGCCCTAGTGCCCCAGAATCTAAAGGTTCCCTGAGGAAGTTCGAAATTTTTCACCTGGTGCTCTCTGCAGTTCCACTCTTCAAAGTTTGACAGCATTGACCAGGTCAATGCCAGGGGCATGCTAGGGCCCCACCCCCCCAACAGCAATACAGAGTGTGCAGCCCTCTTTCTAAAGCAAAAAATGTCTTTCACACTTCTTTGAAAGTAGACATCACTGCCTCTGTCTTCCCTGAAAAATTTGTCACATTTTCCTTGGGGACTGTGCATTGGAGCTGCCAGAAACTCTGGGAGGTGGAGGCTGGACATTGTAAAAGCATCTTGTGGCCTCCATTGGTCTAGCTCAGTGGGTCTGTATTAGTCTCATTTTGTTGCTATAACAAGCAACGAGGCTGAGCTACTTATAAAGAACAAGATGGTGGTGGATTTAGACCCCTTGGCCATTGTCTCCTTACAGAAGCATCTATTTGAGCAGCTATTCACTCAAGAAACTGCCTTCATAAGAGCTAAAGAAAACAGATGAGACACCACAGTACCTAGTTTTAGCAGAATATCAAGATACATTGAAAAGATAGGAAAGAAGAGTTGCTCACGTCACCTCCTACCCCAATTCCAAGTAGCACAGTATGGAGAGAGGTGCCTCCAACTTGGAGGAGGGAGAGAGAATTAAGTGCAGGCATTAGACTTGGAACCACTACTAGGCAGATCTTCACGGCCCTTGCTACCTTCTACTGTCCATTCACATTAGCCTAGTGGCCACCTCCAGCATCCCTCCTGGGAACTCAGGCAGCACAGCACAGAGCAAGACCATCTGCTGGGGGCATAGGGCAAGAAAGTAAGCACAGGATGTTGTTTTGAAACCCAAGACTGAGCAGGTAAAATTCAACACTGGGCAGATCCCAACAACTCCTGTTCCCAGGCCAGTGCCCCCATATGGACCCACTCTGGTACTAGGCAGAGACCTGAGGCCCCAGCAGGATGTACTTGTCCAGTCTGCACCACCTCTGGCTGACTGTAGCAGTGTCAGGCCACTAATCCACCACAGCAACAGGCCATAACAAGGTGGACTTGGTCCTGTCCCCACACTGCACTGGTCTCAGCAGGCTATGGGTGCTGGGTATGACCCAGCATGATGGCTTAACTGGCCATAGAACTTCCCATGCCATCCTTCCCCCAATCTCAGGAAGCATAACATGAAAAGGGAAGAAGAAGGAGTTAGTACAAGT